TTTACGGTCTGTCGCAGGGGAATGGGTTAGAAGCTTCTACAAGATATGCTGAAATGTATCCTCAACGGCAGCATCCTTCACATAGAATATTTGTCTGACTTCATCAACGATTACGTGAATATGGTTCATTCAACAAAAGAACGCAGGATTGTGGTCGCCATCGAGAAGTAAGAACACCACAGCTTGAGGCAGCAGTACTTAATTTGATAGAAGAACAACCTACTACCAGTACTAGAAAGATTGCTTTCCAGCTAAATGTTGATCATATGACGGTATTTCGAATTTTAAAGGAACATCTCTTATACCCTTACCATCTGCAACGAGTACAGGCACTGTTACCGCGAGACTTTCCGAACCGTCTTGAATTTTGCAATTGGATGCTGGAAATGATTAGAAGAAATCGTGACTTTCTGAAGACGATCGAATTCACAGACGAATGTAGTTTTTCTCGGGACAAGATTATTAATTTTCATAATTACCACATATGGGCTGATGAAAACCATCACGCTATTGTCGAAACTAACCATCAAGAACAGTTTTCTCTTAAGGTGTGGGTCGGAGTTATTGGGGATTATTTAATTGGGCCTCATTTTCTACCTCCTCGATTAAATGGTGAGGCATACGTTCAATTTTTAAGAAAAGTGCATCCCCCCGTACTGCTGGAGGAAGTTCCTTTGGGCGTCAGAAGGGATATGGTTTTTATGCATGATGGGGCTCCCGCCCATTTTAGTCAAGTAGCACGTCAGCATTTAACTGAAACATATGCAAATCAGTGGATAGGTCGAGGAGGACCACAGAATTGGCCCGCTCGATCCCCGGATCTCAATCCTCTGGATTTGTCTACTTGGGGCCATTTGCAGCATTTGGTTTATCGTACTCCTGTTCGCGATGTAGAGGACTTAAGAAACCGCATTATCGATGCGTGCAGGGTAATTAGAGAGACTCCAGGAATATTTGAGCGAATACGTGGCTCAATGCGCCGACGTCTAGACGCATGCGTAATGTCTGAAGGTAGACATATTGAACATTTACTATGATTTCTACATGTTGTATGTTTTGTTATTATTAAATTAGTTTTGATTATTCCCCTTTAATCATTTAATGCAGGTAGTAACTACAAAATAACAGTAAATCCAGTCCGCATTTATGACGATGTATCTCTGTAGTTGTTCGTAAAATAATTTTTTACTGCGAACTGGTTTAATTTGGGCAAAAAATTCAAGAGACATTTTTTTTTAGAATGAAACAGGCTATCGGAAATAATTTTTTAAATGGTAAAAAAATAATAAGACAAAAAATTACGTTGGAAATAAATTTTAGGGGTTGCGTTTTCCACCCCTTACTACCATGGGGTAAACCAAATAAATTACTGGCTAAGTGTCTTTTTGGTAGTAGAAAATGTCAGGTTAATTTCAATATTGTAACTTGTTTAGTGCTTGTGAAAAAAATTGTTAAACAAATTTTATGTACCCCCTTTAAGGGGCTGTATCTTAACAAGGGATGCTCCAATGAAGTTTCTTTATATGAAAGATCCTATCTTTTTTTCGATGAGGAATCACCCCCTTAAATGTTTTACACTTATTTAGTTACACCCTGTATAGACAAAAACTTGTATTGGTTTATCCATTTTAAAATACAGGCAAAGCTCCTTATTCGCGAATCAAAAAATTGTGCCCACTTCCCGTATTCTGTATTCGCGGATCCAAAACTAACGAATCTAACGATATACAGGGTGATTTTTAAGTTGATACTTTCCTTTTAACACTGTATAGAATGCAAGAAAATAAGAAAATTGTTCAAATAAAATTATGTCCGAAAATGCTTCGTTTCCGAGATACAGGGTGTTAAAGTTTTAAGGAAAAAATGCCTTTTTTATCATAACTTTCCTACCACTCCAGATATTTCCACAAACTTTGGTACACTTCCTTTGACCATTAAATTACATTTTTTGATGTAAAAGTTTTCAAAAAATTTCTACCCGTGGCGTTCGAACGGGATTTGTATTGAATTGTTTTAAAGAAAAAAAAGTACGCCACTGCTTTTTCTTAAAATCAATTGTCAATCAATTCTTTGTTTGTAATACTGATTTACTTTGGAGTTAATTTGGTCTCTTGATATTTGTTCATACGCTGAACAGTTTTCGTTTAAAGAAATAAAAGCCATTTTGATGCATGGCAAAATCGCTAAAATCTGATATGGTGTTTGTATATAAAATTCCTTTTTGAAAGAATCGTTTTTAAGAGGCAAATTGATAATGCCACAGCTGAATAGCAATCCGAAGAATTAAAATATATTTTATTAGCGACAAAACAAGAAAAATCACTAAATTCTTTAAACTATTGCCTAAACCTGATAATAATAATTAATATTGTTAAAATTTATCTCAATAAATTACTTTTATGGAGATATTTTGGTACGACTCCGTATTCGCGGATTGCGTATTTACGGCGAATAAAGAGCTTTGACTGTCTTAATAAGCAGGCTCATTTCTCTAACCTAGTATTTGTTTCATAATGTGAGGTCTATTTTGAGTATTGAACTTATCTGCTTATACACATGCCTGACATACTGAAATTATTAAATGTAATCTTTCAAATAAATATCTTGCATGCTTATATACATACGTATATCGTAGATTTTTTCCACAATATCGTCAGTTAAGAATACTGTTTGTGAGATATCGTTTGCACATCGTTTGACTTCATCTGATAAGAATTTTACAAACATTGTTTTTTGTTTGAATTAGCGCAATACCTAAATTAAATACCGCGACGTATTTTGTGTGGATTTTCGATAGTCGACTGAAACATGCTTCGGCTGTAACAAAGATTTGCCCTCTAAATTGAGGATTTCTTGTATGTTCCTGAAGCAACCATTCGCAAAAACCTCGACGTACTGGAAAATCCTCAGGAGTAAGCATTTGAATAAGTTGAATATGAAATGGGTACAACTGAGCGTCTCGTAATGGCCGCCACACAACAGGATGCGAAATATTTACTTGTTGTGCGATATTTCTGGTGCTACGATGCGGATCTTCTTCGATGAGATCTAAAATTATCTCCTCGACATTTAGGCAGAGAACCCATTAGGCGATCGCGGTCCCGTCGCGTCGTGGTCCGTTCTGGCCTGAGCTAACCGCGGTCTTTTACAGAATCAGTCGCATTTGGCAATCGTACACAATCCTGCTCGCGCCCTGCTTTAAATAGTTGTGGTATTGTTTTAGTAGTTAAAAAAATGTGTTATATGGAAGAGGAAGCTCGTTTCGATCGCATCGCGGTCTCCCGAGATTATTTGGAAAAGATCGGTGGAGAACGCGATGCGAGCGCGACGAGCTCGAGAACGTCTAGTGTGAATGCATTATAAAACATGGGAATGAACTCCACCGCGCGCGATCGAGAATAGAGCGAACCGCGATGCGACGGGACCGCGACCGCCTAACGCCGGGTCCTAATTGAGAAAATATTTTTAACGCGTGAGCGAGCGACTCAATAATCGCGTCGTGCAAAAGCGCGATCATCGGAACTTTATCCAAATTGAGTAGAAGACTTTTGGATCGTTTAGTAGTAAAATGACGCGCGATCAATGCAGACGTCTACTTTGTGAAAACATTTACTTCAAATATTTAAGGTTTTTTAGGAAAAGAAAAATGAAACATCCATATAAACACACAATACATCATAGCAGAACACAATTTGGAAAATTAGTTTCTTTTCTTTTAAAACTGTCGCAATGGCCCCCCAGTCCTTATCTACGGCCACTCTGTTTTTATAAAATGCAGACCATTTGTTCCAAATAATAGGCCGCTTTTGAATTTCGTTTACTAATTTTTCTAGTTGCTGTTCAGCCTTAATTACAATAATGAACGAAAAAAATTTGATATTTTATCACCGACAAGCGCGCAACTCGACTACGAAAATCAAACTGATTTGAAAAACAAACGAGTGCGATTACGCATGCGAATTTATCGCAACGCGCGTTCGCGCGATCGCTCTAATTTGACCATTTGCACCACACCACGAAGGTTTGATTGTTCATCGCGTCGCGCGTTCGCTCGCGCGATCAAAAATATTTGCCAATTCGGACCAGGCGTAAGGCTGAGTCCTAATTGAGAAAATATTTTTGATCGCGTGAGCGAGCGACTCGATAATCGCGTCATGTAAAAGCGCGATCATTGGAGCTTTGTCCAAATTGAAGCGAGAATTTTAGGATCGTTTAGTAGTAAAATGACGCGCGATCAATGCAGACGTTTATTTTGTGAAAACATTTACTTTAAATATTTAAGGTTCTTTAGGAAAAGAAAAATGAAACGTCCATACAAACACACAATACATCATAGCAGAACACAATTTGGAGAATTTTACCACCTTTATGAAGAACTAAGACAGGATCCGGCTTTATTTCTGCGTTACACAAGAATGAAAGTTGAGACTTTTGATTATATTGTTGAAAGTATTCGAGAAGAGTGCAGTCATGTTACAACGAATTTTAAGAAGCCTATACCTATTGAAGAAAGACTACTCTTGACATTAAGGTAAGAAATAAAACAATAAAGTTTGTATTACAAGTTGTATTAAATGACAAATAGAATAATAATTATTATTATTGACAAATGAAAAAACTGGACAGAGGTTATAATTCATGTAATTTCCTGTCTCAGCGGTTTTTCACTAACTGTACGTTTAATAGAGAGTTGTGTATGTCATGTCCGAATGAGATGAGGCAGATGAATATGATATATGTTGCGGAGACGGCGTGTAGGATAATGTAGCACTGTTTGATAAGATAGCTTCTGCTAAAATATTTTGCATCTTATTACGCACCATTAGATTTTGATGTTTATTTAACTCCTTAAAAAATGGATGAAGGGATTTGAGAAACAGCATGTCTGCATCATCATCGATATTATTATTTAGCGCTGCAATATTTTTCTCTTCAATTGAGAGCATTGCTTTTTCGAATGACGTTGTCTCAGTCTCTCTTTTTCTTTTCTTCTTTTGCGACTAAGATGCAAGTGTTGCTGGCACTGGATGAATGGATTGTTGTGTTTGCTTCTGCGCCTGATTGGTTTGTAACTGGGACGCATGTGTCTGTCCCTGAGGTTGTGATGTGAGTTGGTGAACTTCATCTGTTGCCTGAGGAGTAGACTGATATATCTGTGGCGTAGAATTTTCGACTTCCCGTATAAAATCTTCAGCTCCTTGACTAAATTGGTTACTGTCAGGCAAGTAGTGGTTGGCTTCTTCTTGGGTTGGTTGTTCAGGATCATCGTCTTGTGTTTGTGATTCATTGAATTCAGTTCTAGTGCCCATTTCATATGCATTTTCTGAACCTACTGAATAGTTTCCTTCTGTACGACGAGGAGTAACCGTATCCTTCAAAAAGGCCATTCTATCAAAATAACACCATTTTCCGCTATAAGTTTCTGGACTTCCTGGATCACCAGAGCGTGGTTTTTTAACTTTTTTAATTTCCTTCTGATATACATCTCTCAGATTCTTCCACTTTGACTTTAATCGATCTTCTGAAAAAAAAATAGGGGTCTTTAGGTGGTTATCCGAGTTACCAAATTTCATAAAAAAATGAGTTATACCAAAATTATTAGGTAATTTTTTTGCTTACATTTTAACACCCTGTATCTCCGTAACTAAGCCGCCAAAAATCAATGCTTATAAGATATTTTTATTTTAAAATAATACCAGCAATCACTTCCCGAAATTTGTCAAAGTACAGTTGAATCAGTCTGTATATTTTGCGAAAATCAATTGTAGTTACAATCGAAATATTTGTTTCAGATATCTGTCAACTGGAATAGCATTTAGACAACTGGGGTTATCTTTTCGCATATCCAAAACTGCAGTTGGTAATATAGTTATAGAAATTTGTAAAGCTTTGTGGAAAATTTTGCAAAAAGAACACCAAAAATTTCCAACGAAGTCTGATTTCGAAAACATAGCCAAAGAATTTTACGACAGATGGAAATTTCCAAATTGCCTAGGATCCATCGACGGTAAGCATATCAGAATTAGGTGCCCCTGTTCTTCTGGTAGCATGTACTACAACTACAAGAACTATTTTTCCATAGTTTTGATGGCTATAAGTGACGCGCATTATAAATTTATTATGATAGATGTAGGAGGTTATGGGAAAGATAGTGATGGCGGAGTTCTAATTAACACTGAACTGCATACTCATTTAGAAAATGGTATAATACAGTTGCCTGAAAGAAAGCAGTTACCTCGTTCAGAAATAACAGCTCCATATGTGTTTTTGGGTGATGAAGCATTTCCCCTCCGAAATTATTTATTGAGACCATTTCCAAGAAGGCAATTACAAGATAACAACAAGTCCCTATTTAACTATAAGCTGTCGAGTACACGAATGGTTATTGAATGTGCATTTGGGATCATGGCTGCAAAATTTCGCATACTTCAAAAAGCTATTGAAACGAAAGTAGACAATGCTGTTCACATTGTTAAAGCCACTTGCTTACTACACAATTTAATAATCGATATAGAAAAGACAGAACACAACAGAAATCAGACCCTAGGCGACGACCAATATCATTTTTTACCACAGGCAAACATCATATCATCTAGAAGTTCAAATCATGCTTCACGAAGCGCTATACAAGTTAGACAAAGCTTTGTCGATTATTTTGTAGAGATTCGTCAATAAATAATAAACTTCTATTTTAAACATAATAATTTTCACTTATTTACATATAATAATATACAACTGTCTATTAGTGCAATGTGAGGACAGTCTCGTTCAATAAACGCGCTACGTTTAAGCTTTCTGTTTTTGATTTCGCTATACCAAACTCACTTTTATCCTTTGGACAATTTCGGTTGTAGTAACTTATTTGTACCAGTTGTACCAGTATTTTGAAACAATATTAGGAATTTTAATGAAAAATATATACTTACTGTTTTCTTTTAAATCTGCCGCAATAGCCTCCCATTCCTTATCTACGGCCACTCTGTTTTTATATAATGGAGACCATTTGTTCCAAATAGTAGGCCGCTTTTGAATTTCGTTTATTAATTGTTCTACTTGCTGTTCAGCCATAATTAGAATAATCAGCGAAAAAATGTTGATATTTCATCACCGACAAGCGCGCGACTGGGCGACGAAAATCAAACTGATTTGAAAAACAAACAAGTGCGATCACGCGATGCGAACTTATCGCATCGTGCGTTCGCGCGATCGCCCTAATTCGGCCACCTGCATCACACCACGAAGGTTTGATTATTCATCGCGTCGCTCGTTCGCTCGCGCGATTAAAAATATTTGCCAATTAGGACCCGGCGTAATGCGTTCTCTGCTTAAAAATTCTTAGTGGTCGCCCTGGGCCACTGTCGCGACCTCGACCCGGTTGTACTTCACCGGCGTTCAACACTCTTTGCGCTACAGCAACAAATGTTCGCGGTACGGGAGCACGTCGTTCAGGATATCTTGCACAGTAAGTACACTTGACAAGCTCTGTGGGCATTTTCGTTTGCTTCGCCATAAATTATGAGCATATCATAATATTCGTGATTGCTAAATAAATGCGTCATTTTCAAAAGAAAACTTGGAAATACGGCTATTATGTACTCTCAAAAAACAGCACAGCAATCACTACAACAATGTATTACAAACTGACTTTCGAATACAGTCCGGCTTCATAAGAAACCTACAAACTCGTAAAAAGTGTTACAAGAATTTTTTGTAAGCACTCGCCGCGAGAAAATACATGTATTTCAGCAGTTTCAAAACAGTTTTAAACACTTTTTTAATTAGCTAAGATTGTGATATAGGTTAACTCAGTTTTTGCTCCTTTCCCCCTCTCCCCTTTAAATTTTTTACATAAGTTTATTAACACCCTGTACATTGTTTTATCAGTGATTTTAAAATAATACCCTATTTTATTATTCTTGTCTCTAGTTTCATCTTCAACCCTTCTTTTACGCTATGCATATGACGATATATTCGACAGTAGTCACTTATATTTTTGCTAAAATAATAAAAAAATAAATTATGGGGCTTCGGAATTATTACACACATATACCAAATAAAAACATAACATAGATTAAGAGCCGATTTCGTTTACGTATTCATTGTATGACTTATTGATAGGACCCAACAAGATATTCGATTACCATTCAACATTCTAGTCAGAAAAGGATTTATCAATTTGACAGGCATAATCGAACAAGACATTTTTAAATTTCTTTAAGTGTAGCAGCCGCTTTGAATACTTAAACATGCACTAAACAAAGCGCGAGCAAATCCCGCAGGCCCCGTTACCGCGTTGTTTTATTTACGCAGCGAAGTTACAAATTCTAATCTAACTAATCAATAATGAACCAATAATAGAATTGCCAATATTCTATCCCATACCGTTCTTGACCAATATTATCAAGGTAACTATTTACTTGCTTACAATTAAATTAATATAGTTATTTGCGTATTTGCCTGATATTTTATAACTAGCCGCTTGTAGTCGTCTCAAATTGAGACTCAAATGTGTTATAGGCATACCCTTTTGTCTGCATTGGCGAATAATGTTATAAATAAATAAAAAACTTGAACAATCCTGGCAGATTCTTCTTCATTGTTTTTGGTTTTTCTCTGTTGTAGTGGTATGATATCGAATAAAATAAGCCGGAATAAAGAAAAATTCATATGAGCAGTCTGAGCCAATTTCGAAGGGATTTCACGGTATTTCAGAAACTGATGCCACGTTCTTGAGCTCAATTCTAAAAACAAAATCAACTATCAGATAAGAGATTTGATTTGATTTCTCGCGTTATAGTTTCATATTCAGTTTCTTAAACATTTTTGAGCAAGACCTGTGACCATTAGGCAAAATAATGTTTAAACCAATGATATTGTGGGAAACAACTACTCTGTGAACTAATTCCCCGACCAGCATAAACAATATCCGATTATTTAGTAAATAGTCAGGATTTGTCGCTAGTAGAACCAGGTATATAACGGTTTAGAACTTACTAATTCTCATCAGCACACCATAGTATCGCAGTTCGAAATTCACTTATGTTTCGTAAATTTTCATCAAACTTTCAAAAATACAAGGTGCAGTTCCCGTCGAGGAATCCATAGACAAGTCATCGCAGACAACTTATTACGCAGGCCGTAGGACACAGGGCATGTTTTAACCCATGTTACGAAAATTTTTAGATTCACATACAGGATTGTTTGAAGGCATTGAGTAGTACTGACCATTCATAAATGTTGTAAATATAACTTTTATATCTCACCTATACGAGTAGTTACTTCATGACTTACTTAATGTAGTTATAAGACCGAAAATCATTCGTCGGTCACTCCACTGATGATACTAATAAGTCCAGAATAAGTATATGTCTGGCGGTTTGATTGACGAATAATGCTAGTTGTTTAATAGATATTTCGGATACAATTCAATGCTGATCGGGACCTTAGTACGCAGAGTACCTCAATATTTTAAGGTAAAAGTTCAATTTTACGGTTTCGAAACGATATTAGGCTTTTTAGTATATCTCATCATGATTGATAGGGTTATGAAGCAGACTTATATTTTTTTTATGAAAATTCTAGCTAGTTCTCGAAAGATAGAGACATATTTGCAATCCAATTATATTTATTATGTTATACGAGTAGTTATTTGTATAAAAATGAAATTGGAAAGTTTTGTTTGCGAGTAATGTATTTTCCTTTGATTAAACTGTTTTCGGGCTGGTTACAAAATTATCAGTTTATACTTATTGACGTTTCGAGAAATATATCGCCCTCTTTATCTGTAGAAATTTTGACTTTTGCAGAATCCATTTTCAGAACTTTTTCTGAAGAAAGGAATATGTCTCTCGAAATATCATGACCAAAAAAAATTGTTATACAAACAACTTTATTTCAGTCAAAAATTTAAAGTTTGCCTTATTTTACACATATAATAGTTGCTAAAATAACCATGACCTATTACCATTAGACTGTAAATGGAAACTCATCTTTCTGGATCATAGCCAGTTTCAAATGTCATATAAAAAACGTAAATTTCCTCAAGGTTCACTAAAGAATTAATATCACTAAATGATTATACGGTGAAAAGTATATAAGATAATTTCTACTTGACCGAATGCCGAAAATGTCCCAAAATTGTATATTATGGTCCTGTAATTCGAAAGAAAACGAAGATATTAGATATCTGATTTGGTAACTGAACATATTTTGTTTTGAAAATCGAAGTAGATAACCTGGCATTTTATTTTTCACTTTAGTATTTCCTGAGGTATCCTTTAATACCATAGAAGCTCTAAGCAACCAATTCTAAATATAAAAAACCTCTATATTTATGTCACGTCAATTTGTTTTGATGTAGGGAAATTATTTGTAGCACAATCCCGTTTTTCTTTTTGCCGAGAGACGTTGATCGTGCATTTCATTGTTTGTGCGTGTGTGAGTGAGTTTGACGCTTTGCTTGGTCGAGCGTATGGCACATGTTTTTATGGCAGTGAGTAGCATTGTGTATCGTGAGCATAGAGCGGCACATGGCTTGACCACAGATTTAGCCTATTTCTGCTACTACAATGCGTTTTATCGTTTACTAGAATAATATACATTACTACTATTTACGTGATTGGCGCCACAAAGTTTCCGATGTCTACATATTACATTTATTTCTGCTTATTTAAAACTAAATTTATGAAATCAACTATGACTGATATTTCAGGTGCAAATGGTTACTTATATTTATTTTTTCTTTTCAATCCTACAATCAAACAAAAAAGTAAGTATTTGAAAATTCCGCAAATAAATAATGAAAGACAATAATAGGATGAATGTGTCAAAATAATAATACTGTGGGTATTAATATATGTGTTGCGGAATTATTTTAAATTCCAGCAGGATGGTACAGCAATAGGACATAAATTTTATAAAGCAAATTTCGATAATATTGCCACACTTTTATGTCTTGCGCTAATGCTATTAAAAGATGAATAAAACTGGGATTATGATGCAATATAATGGAAATACTTAAATATGTAATTAAACTGCCAGTGATGGGATATGAGCATTGGAAAAAGAAGCCCCTTTATTTAATGCCACAAAGAGCTGGTTACTACTTTAAAATTAATTAAAAAATGGAGAATGACTTTTATGTAGCTATTGAAAATTCTGTTTTTTTTACTTTGTACATACTCTTAGAAGCCAAATAAAACTCAGTCACATATTAAATTATATTTTAGGAAATTTCTGATCTAACAGACAGGAGTTGAGACCCCTGGGGCAACCTCTACCTATCCACCTGCCAGGAAAATGAGATCGTTTAATCAATTTGTGACATTATGGATAAAGTGAAGTGGGGCCCCATATTGTTATAGTGTAACGTTAAGCGTATGTTTAACGGTGTATCATCTAAAGTTCTTTTACATCATTTTGCAGAAAGTTTAAGTATCCTTCTGCATTCAAACGGGGAATTGAATTGGTCCAAGTAACTGGTCCCCTAAAATTCCTGTCTACACATTTATTGAAAATCTATTTTGAAAATTTGTGCACCGTATTGCCCGTGGATTTTCGTCTGGCAAATGGCTATTATGAATATCTGCTATCTCTGCATTCGTAAAATGTTACATTTTCGACTGATAACAATTTACAAAAAGGAAATAACTGAACTGTCACGCGAAACGCATTTTTGTTATTCAAAATCTGCGGCGATAAAAATATTGACAATTTCGATTTTCGGTGTACAAATGTAACATTATTTTTAAACGGATTTTACACAAAAATGGAACATTCTACCAATCTGAGCCAAGAGTACCATTTTTTACTAGAAAAACAGAAATTTCATACTTTTCAGTCAAAAGTCAAAAAAGTCAAAGCATAAAAAATTTATGGTAAATTTTAACTCTCTTCTCCGCCCCAGTGTTACAACGAATGTAACGAAAATTTGTAAATTTCATTTTAGTAGCAGACTGAGCACGTAAGAGTTAAGGTAGTTACCAAATTTCATAAATTTATCTCAAGTGATTTCGGAGTTATTTAGAAAAAACCATCATCAGCCTTTAAGTGGCTATAACTTCCATAGG